GCTAATATATTTTATGACACTAAATAATACTTGATCTTTTAAAAGGGATTTTGTAACAAAGGCTATATAGCAAGCTTTTTATGACTAGGAACAATATCTCAATATATATTGTAATTTTTTTTGTATATGCGTTAAATACATAGTTTACCAGTTATAAATGTTAACTTATTTCATATGAAGGTGAACAAATAAAAAAAATATTCATTTTCGATCGTCCTATCTGTCCGGACTTGTCTCTTAATTGGATTTTCAATTTTAGGTCCATGACGTAGTGGATTGCAAATGGTGATTTTTTTTTCATCCCATCTGATTTTGATGTTTCCTTTCTTTTCGATATTTCGTTTCAATTAACATTGGATTTGATTGTTTTAAAGTAAATTGTTGCATATATATTTTTAAATATTTTTCTTATAAAGAATTTTTGTAATGAGCTGTTTGACACTATAAAATACGCAAAATATTTTTTTAGGAGGTTTTTTCTTCTTTTTTTATAAAGTTAACGTCGTTTCGAGATTGTAATATTTCTTTGCCCTTTCTAATTTTTTATGGACATAGCAACAAATACAGAAAGAAACCGTTACGTTTATGTACACATAAAATTTATTGAGAATTAAGTGCCCTTATCTTAAAATGCTAGCACGAACTGAAAATTTCTCAATTAGAAATAATCAGAAATCACAAAACTTAATCTGATATAAAACACGGATTACAGAAGTGGTTGCGTTAAAAAGTTTTATTACTTTGATTGAACTGTAAAGTGGTCTGTAAAAAGGGCGTGTGATTGTTTTTACGAACGTATATGTAAATTCATCTTAGGATCTTCTGATAAATATATATATATGTTACTAGAAGACCCGGCGAACTTCGTATCGCCCTATAATCAAGAAATATCTATTACGTTTTTTTATTGATATTTTTGGAGTTTACCTGTAAGCCATAAATCTCCGTGTTTGGAAGTGCGACAGAATGATTGACATTTAGTTAGTTGTCAAATATAATGTCAAAAAAATACATTTGTATGGGAAATAGAAAAGGGCTGTTTTTATGATTTTCCCAGTAATGAATCAATTTTTTTCAGCTTTTATACCTTCCCTGAACCCCCACGAACATTTCAAGACTAAGATAAGATAAATCCGTTCAGCTGTTCTCGAGTTTTAGCGAGACTAAGGAACAGCAATCCATTTTTATATATATAGAAGATATATTTAGACTTAAAAGAAACAGAAAAGTGACTAATAACTTCTGATTCACTTGTGAAGTAGTTCATTCTTAACACTTGTGAGACAGATTTTATGTAGCCGATGCTATAACATTTCTTATTTTCATCACCATCATTTGATGAAATTCGCTGAACCTATGTTCTTTTTTTAATTTTTTGTTGTCATTAATAACGAAAATTTTTGTAAGACTTAAAAAAAAACATTTTGGAGAAATTTCTGTAGTAAGATTTTGCTTAACGAATTTGAAGTAGATAATTCATGTTTGGGATTTTTTGAATACATTGCTGTTTATGAAAATTCTATGTTCACCTAATTAGATACATAGAATTGAAAATAACAAGTTTATTATCTTTCGCCTTAAATATTTTTAATGGTCGTTACAAAGGTTTACCAAATTTTATGTTTTTCAATATAATATTAATTAATCTTTAACTAGATGTTATATTATCAAGAATACTATATAAAAACTCTTTATTAGGAATTTCAGAGAATTAATATACAGATTTTATTAAATTTCATGACATTGCTGTCTCATTAGGGCACAGAACTACTAGAATGAGATCCAAAACGTAATAAACATACAAATACAAATTCCACGTTTCAACATAATTAAATATTGTATATAACGTTTGTTTGTCGAGGTGTAAAATAGATTTGTATTCAGTGTAAAGTGAATTGGGTGTATAATAATGTAATGTTTTTTAAATAACCAATGATTCTTTTGTGAATTATTTTTCGGGCGAGTTGTTTGCAGTCACGGTTACGCTTCATACATCGTTTGATGTTAAAGAGATTTGTTCAGGATTACACTCGTTAGATCTTTCTTACGTATTTATTTTTAGAACCGCTAATTTCGTGTGTTATTTTTGGGACGACGATAGACGAATGTAGAATGATTTAAAGTTAATGGAAAAAGATATTAAAAGAAAACGATCTTATTAATAACTTAATACTATATAATCGTGTTGAAGTCACGGTTTTCATAACCAAAAAAGATCATTAAAACGTGTAACGATATAAAGGGAAGGTGTAAGTTAACTTTTAAACTGTCGGTTTTCAGGTATCGCTGTATACACATACTAAGGGTACAGGTCAAGACAAGAGTGCTATTGGTTTCATGTAAATTTCAGTTGTTTTAACTAACACTTAATTCTGTTGCATATTTATGTTTTCATCTAAGCGACTGTTGAATATATATGAGAGTATGCAAATTGAATAAAGTCTAACTTACTTTAATACACACTTCATAGGATGGACACTATATATACTATCAAAGGTTATATAGTTTTCACATAGTTTATCAAGAAAACCTTAGAAACACAAATATTAAAGGATATACATACTCGTAATATATATATGACCATATGTTTGTTACGTAACAAAAAAATACGTATTTAAATTACGTTTAGACTAAAAGAAAGGATTATTAATCATTAAATATTAAAAAAGATATGTAATGTAGACGTCATTTTTATAAAGTTTTTTCAATAGCATTTGACTATTTTATATGCTTTATTTATATAGAAAGAATTAAATATATAAGCAAATAAGGAATTCCGTTTATCATTATACATAATAAAAGAGTACATTACTCATATAATAATTAAACGATGAAAGACTTTGTAACATAAACATTGCAAAGAAAGTGGCGGAATTAAATTAATTATAATCTGAAGACAACTGAGGCATATGCAATTAGTGTGCGAACAAGTTTTGTCGAACATCTGACTATTAATTGTAAACACTATGTAATTTAATTTACCAGCTTAGTCTCAAATAACAAGCGTTTATATTAATATGAATAAAACAAAACTAAGTTTTTTATAAGAGAAATGTATTTAGTATAAAAATATCTTAGTTTATAATTACGCTGATTATGGCTTCGGATGAATTCATTTAATGATTCTCTTAGAAATTTTATATGTTCATTGCATACGGTAATTCTGTAAATAACAACGTTTTATAAAATTCAAACTCCACTTTAAAACTCTCATTATATAGTACCAGCGTATCGTTTATATGAGATTCTTGAAAAGAATGAGATGTTGATTTTTTGAACCTAAGTTCTATGTTGTAGTGGTAGTGCTGTGCTTGATACTACAGGCGTGCCTAGAATACGACGATCAAATACCACCATGCGATATACCATAAGTCATGACCTTTAATATCTTAAAACAAATTTCATTAGTCTAGTTTGTACCGGGAGTTTGAGAAGTTGATAAGGACAGGTACATCTTAAATAAACTCCACAAGTAGGTGGACCAACTCTCGAAGGAGGTCAAACAATTAATGCATCTCAAAGCCTGAAAGATACGTCGTCTTGCAAGCGAAGTCCAAACAGAATTTTGCAGTCCTCCAAAAAGGTGTTTGGTAACTTGAAGATTGGATCGTGATACTTAGTTAAATACATAGCTATACAAACATTTATCAAAATAATTTATTTATTCCTTTATAATACATCGAATTATGGATGATATATTATCGACGTTATGTTCTTACTTTTACGAAATCACCTTTAAATTAATTTAAAATTATCATAATTCCCTATTAAGTAAAACAAAATCGTAAGTAAAACCGAGCTTCAACATTAGTATAGACGTAATGATTTTCTCAACAGAGCCGTTAGCGTATCACACCAAAGTTAGTTGGAAGTTGCAGTCATTAATCAATTCCTCTTTCAGATGTTGCTTCAGTTTAAAGACGATTAAAACTGTATGAAGCTACAACTTGAAACGTAATTACCGCTCGAACTACTATGAATAGGTTTGTTCGTGTTTTTAAACAACGTTTAAAGATCCTTCTAATAACGGGGTTTGTTAAACCTCCGTTAACACTTACATTTTAATCATCGGTTTAATTAATATGTGATATGAACCGTTCGTAATAAATTAATCGCTGGTTAATAAAGATTAATTAAATTTAACTGTCGGATATAAAAAAATAATATAATTTTATGAGTAATAATAATTTTTCATTGACTGTTAAAATGTTATTAACAGCGTATATAAAGATATACCTCAGGTTATTTGAGTGAGGACAGACGTAAGCACTTTTATTATAATATATTCTTAATGAGGATTATGAAGATAATTACAGTGTAACGAGTTCTCTGCGTTATGCAAAATAACATTCTGCATTCTTTTGTAATAAGAAGAAAATTAAAATTGCGTTTTAAAATATATTCTTTACTTAATTTTACATAAAATTATATAAACTAGTAAAAATTTTTCCTCTATTAAAACGCTTAAAATGGTTTAAATATAAAATTACTCAGAATGTTTCAGCGGTTCAAAGGAAGATTTCTCTATCTAAGAAGCTTTTTTTATAGTTTATAATATTTTACGGAAAGGTAGCGAGCGTACTTTAAATTCACGTTTGAATGGTTTTATAATGAGAAAGTTTGAGATGAGTGTGTTCTTGGCTCTCTAAGAACAAACAGCTGTTAACCATTGGTGCCTGTACCGGGTGATAAAGTAATGAAGATTTGTATAAATGACTAGCTGACCCGGCTAATAAAAAATGGGGGTTGTGTGTATTTTTCAAAACCACATAAATGAAATGAAAATAAAAAATTTCGTCAAAATATAAAAAATAGGGGTGAACAACCCTTATCACTTAGGCGTATGAAAAATAGCAATAGCCGATTCTTAGACCTACTCAATGCGCTTATAAAATTTGTTAAAAATCTGTAAAGCCGTTTCAGAGGAGTATGGTACCTAACATTGTGACATGAAAATTTTATATATTAGATATAGTCTTTAATAAATATTTTTGTTATAGACAAAGCCCCGTCGGAGGCTACGTTCCGAGGAGCTGAATTTCTTTCGTACGACCTCACTCAAACCGGCGGCGAACCCATAGTTAGCACTCAAGACACAATCTCACTCTACTTCAAGACGAGACAACCAAATGGACTTCTGTTTTACACTGGTGAGTTAACATCATTGAACAATACGATGAGTTATAAAACATTACGATGAGTTACAAAACATTATTATGAGTTATTAATTCAGTAAAACTTTTATATGAAAATAAAACTTTCCATTAATAACTATAATGGTTCAATTTGATATAATATGTATTATTTGTAGTACTCCGATGAGTTGTGATTTAATTTCTATACCAAAATGTGATTTCTACATAATATATGTCGTGGTCTTTGTTTATATTATAGTACATGAATTGAATTATGAATTATTATTATTTATTGTGAGTAAAATTAAATGACAGAATTTTTTTATAGGTAAAATCAAAGTTATCACTTTAAATGTATTTGAATTATTTAATAATATGTTTTAGGAAAAGGCTTCTAGAATTTAATTAAAGGTGAACATAACATCTCATATATATTTTTTGTTTTATATGAATTCCAGTTCTTAGTAGTTTGGAAAAAAATATTTCAGTGTCATTATGAAATTAAAATATTTATACGACATAAAGCCTACTTTTCAGCAACCGTAATCACAAGAAAAATTATTGAAGGTTTTGTAATTGATATTTTAACAAAATAATTTTAACTCCTCCATCATTTAAAACGGACCTGTAAATCGTATATAGGTGATAACTTGACGTGTGCAGGTCACGAAGCTGATTACCTCAACCTCGCCGTACGAGATGGTGGAGTCTCTCTCACTATGGGCTTGGGGAACGGGAAGCAGGAGATGCATATAAAGCCGAGCAAAACACGCTTTGACGATCACCAGTGGCATAAACTGACTGTCAGGAGAAAGATACAAGAGGTAATAGACTGACTTATTATACTTTTTTTACAGCTACGTGTATGATCTTAGAGATTTTTTTATTGAAAATAATAATACTTATTACGATCCAAATGTATCGGCTTCTCTATAAATGATTTAATTGAATTCAGTTACTATGTATCGCCCAATCACTGATGAAACTCGGATTTTGACTGTCTCGTATAAAATAAAAGTTACTTACTTATTGGTTCTATTATAAGTAATTAATGTGTCATCTCGATTTGAATGAAGATCTGCACAATAATCTTCTGAAATTGCTGATTCTCACTAGTAAGTTTATTTTTAAGTTACAAAAATAGTCGATTTATTTTGTTCCTGAGATATGACATTCATTGAGTCTAAATATAAAAAATAATGCTTTAAGTTTGAATATAAAGAAAAAAAATCAAGAGTGATATAGCAGTATTAAAAAATATATTATTATATATTAAAGTGTCTACTATAATCAAGACGAACATATATATAGAAATGTAAATATATTGAAGTATCACTTACATAGTGATTGATTTGTAGGTAATTGATTTATTTTATTTTATTAATTAAACCTTAAATAAATAAAATAATTCTTAATATGTTTCAAATTAAAGGAAAGAAATATTAAGTAAATTTTCTATAGCGACTTAACATCTAGATTTTAATTAACTAACTTCGAAATACGGTAGTTAGGTCATCACCAATCCGGCTCTAACGGTCTGTTCTCCCAAATATAATTGTGAGTTCATCGAAAATTCATTAACCGGTACTGTGATACCATACAGCGGCTACAATGAACAGATTACAAGATTTACTAAGGATTCAATGACGTTTTACATATATTTTATATGGCAAAACTAATGGCATTTTTATCTATGTACAATAGAAATATATACATATATTTAAAGTAAATATAAGATGAAAAAACTTCAACCTAATACATAGAATGTAACAAAAGTGTTTAAGTGGATTTAAAAAATCTGCATCGGTTTTAAGCAATATTTTAATCCTTATATTAAAATACATAATTAGGAGATCTAAGATTTTCGCGAGTTTTCATTTAAATGTAACTAATATTTTTCGGATAAAGCCATCGTAGTAATTAGTATATATGAAAAATATTCGTTTTATGTAAAATAATTTATTAATAAATAATAACTACTATTAGTAAATGTTTGTATGTAATTACTATAACAGATACAAATATCATATTGAGATCATAATCTTATTATATAATAAAAAAGAAGTGTTCAATGTGTTCAAGGGTCAATTATTCAACAGATTTGTCAACTATTTTCAACATTTTGTACATAAAATCAGATTTTTTCGTGGTTATATAGTTAACTATAAATTCCTTGTAAGTCAATAAAAGGTCTTTATAAAATAACCAATAATTGCCTCAACAAAATATTTAACCTCCTACATAAACGTAAAAGTTCTACATTAGTCCATAGCTTTGATTTAAAAAAATAAATCAAACGTTTTGTAAAAAATAATGTAATAATAATAGTTTCTAGTTAAAAGCTAACTTTACGGAATACGGCAATTTTGTACAAATGACTTTTCAGAAAAACGGTATCATGCAAACTTTATCGACTTACGAGGAAATGTGAGGTCGAATAAAATATTGTAGGCTGAGGGTGTATTGAGGGTGTTAGGGTGAGGATGGAGGGTGAGGGCAAAGGGTGAGGGGAGACGTGGACGAATTACAACTGATAGTGTTGTATCATTAAACAGATCGATACAGTAATACTTAATGTATTTGGTTTATTCTGAAAGAGGCTTATGGTCTATAGCAGAACGTGTTTTCTAACGACGATGACTTTAACAACATTATTACAATAGTACTATGTTTAGATTTAAATTTGATGAAATTGAGTTAGAATTAGCTGTGTTTAATATCATTATCTTATTTTATATACCGCTTAAATATATGACAAAGTTGTACAGGAGATTCAGATAAATATATTTATAATACGTTGCTATTTACAAGTGTACATAAAAATATAATTTTTATTATCATCAAATACACTTGTTAAATCTCGTGCATTAAATATTATACCCAATCGTATAAGGGGTGATTAGTAACAATGTATTTAGGTGGCTTGAATAATTCATATGAAAATTGCTTTAAAATATTCCGTGATTTCAATACTACATATCATAACGATTCTATATATTTTGTAACGCGAGCCACAGTTCATTTATACTGTGTCATTATTTGTACGTATTTGTTGGTATCGATGGAAGCTATTAATTTTTTAGAGCTACCAACGATTGCTATAATAAACCTCATTTTCAACAAAATCGATACATCACTTTCACCTTGAAGAATGACAACTTGTAAAGTTCGTTTCAGTTTAATATATAAACATAATTATATGGAAAGATTTAAAGTTTTATTCTAAAAATAACGAGTTATACTACAATGTGAGTTAAACTATTAAATAAATTAAAGTTGAATCTTATGAAATATGCTACTTATGTTAATTAGTAGTTTAAGAAACAGTTAGTTTTGAAACTATAGTCTAGAGCTGTTTGTAATATATCGTGTTTGTTCACAGATTACACCGTTCACAAGCTTCTGTCGGGTGAGTTTTAGATTAAATATATTTATTCATATATATATATATATATATAGGAATTAAAATAATATTTTTTTTTGTTATATATATCTGAGAATGAAAAACATTTTATATTCAATTCAATAACCAATAATGCTCTTTGTTACGGTTGGACGAAATATATAAAAGGATTCATAATAAATCGTCTAAATTGTTACATAAATTGTGACGAAATCTTATAAAATCAAACTAAAATACAATTAATATAATGTATTACTAGAGAGGTCATTTGTGAAGAGTTACAATAGATGGTATAGAAAAAGATATGATTAAAATTTTGGTTGCTCCAACACATTCAAGTGACATTTATAAATAAAAATCATCTCAACGCTTTGTTTTGATATGAAAAGGTTCTCATCTTACATGTGAGCTTCTAAAAATCTATCGGGATGTTGTATTTGAACCACGAAAGATGTTTGTGACGTCACTTTTCTTATTTTCATTAACTTAAATGCATCATTCATCTGACTTTTGTGATTTTTAATACTAATTTTATTATATACTCTTTATTGCACTGTAAATTTACATGGTTATTTTACAAATAAAATAGTTGTTCACAATGTAATCTAATTTTAGTACGAGTTTTAGTATTTTAATTATTTTAAAATTATCTATAAATATATTAAGATTGTAGATATGACGATTTTAATGGTGAAAATATACTTACTTATATTTATTATATAACGTTTTATTATTTTTATATATTTAGTTTTATTTTATTTTATATATATTTATTTTTGAATTACGAATTGACTTGTACATTATATTTGAATCAAAATAATATAGAATGAAAAAAATCTTTAAAAATAACATAAGATGATTTATTATCTTCAATTGAAAAGAAAATAGTTTTAATATATAATAAAAATATTCATCTTGTTATTCATCAAAATTCAATCCATAGATAAGAGGTTTAGTTGTAACGGTTGTATAAAGTTGTACTCGTACTATCTCTGAGCGTTATACCGGAGTTTATAAACTTACAAAACTTTCATAATGTTTATTTATTGACTTTGAAACTTTTAATATTACTTTATCTTAGATAACAGAACAGACATTATGTTATCTTCTAAAAGGAAGAATGATTTATATTGAAAAATAGTTAAATTCTACCTCAAAAAGATCTTTAAAATACATAACAGTCTTTGAAGTCCGCTTAGGCTTTAAAACTACAAAGAAATACTGAATAGAAAGGAGATCTAAGACTTTTGCGAGCATCCATTTAAATTAAACAAATATTTCTAGATTACTACATACTCGTTATTTTATTATTTTTAAAAATTCACATCTCGTCTGTCCGTGATCACGGTTGCTGCAAAGTAACCGAAACGTCGGTAATATGTAGTTTAATAATAATAAAATAACTTGCAGTAATCCGTAAATATTACTTTAATTTAAATACTGAATATATCGTGTAATTATAACATATTATATATATATATATTTTTTTCACGATATTTTAGAAATAGGTTTAAATTTATATGATACTAGAAGACCCGGCGAACTTCGTTTCGCCCTATAATCAAGAAATATCTGTTACGTTTTTTTATTTATATTTTTGGAGTTTACCTATTAAAGCCATAAATCTCCGTGTTTTGAAGTGATTAGGAATGATTAATAGTTAATATGAGAGTTACACTGAGCTAGCAAAATAATAATTGTCAACGTTACTACTACACTTGATGCACAAACAATAACGATGGCCGACAACTGTGTAGGGAGTGAGAGAAGTCTAATTGTGTGAGAGAAACAGAAGACCGGCTTCGTTCTCATCCCTACTCCGTGCTGTTTACTGGGTCAGAAGTGACACCTGTAGATATCTGGCGGGGATAACTTATTAAATGACGATTGATCAGTTATCGACCGGAGATGAAAAATGATTAAATTACTAAAATAGCTATTAAAAAATAAGGGTTGATCGTAGAAGGGTGAAAATTTAGGATTGTATGTATTTTTGTACGTTGTATCATAAAAAAATAGTAATTAAAAATTTTGTCTAAAAAATAAAAAAAAATAATTTAGGGGTGGACTACCCCTAACATTTAGGGGGATGAAAAATAGATGTTGGCCGATTCTCATAGCTACCGAATAAGCACAAAAAATTTCATCAAAATCGGTCAGGTTGTTTCGGAGGAGTATGGGCACGAAAACTGTGACACGAGAATTTTATATATTAGATTTATTATATATTTGTTTAATATTTAACTAGTAAATAATAAGCCAGTCATTTCATATATATAATATATAAACTATAATAATAACGGTATATATTTGAACGTGAATAAGTTATATTTATTAAGTCTGTGTATATTTGCCCTTTCTGTGCAATATCTCTCCACAAACATTAATCTAAGGAGAGATGTGACACTATCTCGCTTCTGAGAATTAGGAGTAATCTTTTGTACAGACAACATACGTATAGTATATATGTACATATTACTATTGATTCTGTCTTATTATAAATAACATAGCATATATCTATAAAAAAATTATTTTCATGACAATATTATTTGTATCTAAAAATGAATGGTTTACATTATGAACATATATTAAAAATATATGTATATATTGTACCTTTTTATGACTCCGTGGCGCTACAAGAGAAGCGACCCTCAAACCGTACAGCATTTTAATATAAAATCAAGACAAACTCTGCTCTAGGTAATTGTCTGGAAATTCATTATAAATTTTACACATTTTCATATTCTTGTTTAATCAAGCAATACACAAACAAATACAGATGCATAGTATAAACGATTACTTGTATAAAGGATCAATTTATTTTTGAACATTCTTATGGAAATTCGATTCAAATCATGCATTTCATACAAGATCGCGTTCTGTACTGCAATTTTGATTTAGACAAGATATCAGACGAAATATATCAGTGTACAGAGTAAATTGTCTTCACAGAAATACAACTGAGCACGCGACGAGTGTCATGTAAGAACAGACAGACTAAAGTACAATATGAAATGTTATTCATTGCTTCTATAGCAATAAATCACTTTAAATAAATATACAATCTATATATATATGTAGGAAAGTTGTGTTTGTTACACTATTTATAACTCAAGAATAGCTGTATGGTTTAAGATTTGTGGGGATATAGCTTAGAACCAGGAGACGATATTAAATTTTGTTCCATCGAAAAAGAAGAAAATACTTAATAAAATCCAATATCTGGTTATTTATGGCCTCTAAGGCGGAATAGAGTTCGCCCGGTCAGCTAAACATATGTTACTAATTCCAAAATTAACGCGGACGAAGTCGCGGGCAAAAACTAGTATTTAATATTCAAAATTATCTTTCGTCCAAGGCTTCGTTCGAGAGTAATCAGGTTCATTTCAGTCACGGACCTATTTTATATTACCTTTATCACATCTCAGATATATCTACTAGTTATATTGATTGAACATTGGATAATACATATATAGACAAAATTACATTTATAATTAAAAAATATTTTTTCCTTAACGTTTGATAAAGTCATAAATCTATTTATTAAGATTTTTTTCCTTGAAACAGCTAAAAATACTTTAATTGGAATAGTGTTCATGTGTTTTTGAATATCATATAAAATGTTTGAGTAATTTTGTTACTGGCTTGTTATGTCTGTCAATACTTAACGCCTTAATCGAACCGTTTAAGAAGATTAACTCTACGTGGCTTAAATATAAGTAGCACCTTTGCCAACTCCTGACTTATTTAAAAAATATCGATATTCAGAATGAAGGGGTTATACATTTTCTTTATGACTAATCTACTGAATAAAATACATATATAATTTGCTATTATTTTAGTATAAATTCTACTTTAATTAGTCGGAGTTAATTTGGTTTCGTTTATGTAATGAAACATTTTTAGGGAAGTAATTAAGTACGGTCATTTAATGTTGTCTCAAAGAGTTAACAGTGGCGTATCGCATCAGACCTTCATTTCTTAAAGTGGCTTAAGTAGCTTAGGGGCAAAAGAGTTAAGAAGCTGTGTGATTTTATTTTATAAAAGAAGTTTAAATACTCTTTCTACTATATATAATATTATTATTAATACTAAATGTATGGATAATTTCATATAATGCAAATAATATCTCAATGAGACTACCAGATATTTTGTTTATTGTTTTAAGGAAATGTCCATACCAATTTGGAAACATCTGTCTCGATCCCTTAACAGAACCGACACAGTCCCTAGAGTTTATCCAATATATTTATGTATAATATCTCCGAAGCAATCTTATTAAACACTCCTAAACCACGTCGGATATGAAAAAAGTTTTCCATCCGCAACAAAAGTTAGATAAACGGCATCGCCCCTCATCTTCATGTTTTACTTCGCCCGACATGATATTCTCTGGACTTTCCTTAATATAATAAGCAATTTGTCTGTATCACTGACACTCCAAAGCTCAAGTTTATTTTGTTAAAGCGGAGTGGACGTCATAACATTCATCTTTTTAACGCGAGCGCTCCCTTTGAAATGTTTCTTCAAATTTTTAATTAAGTTCTTGTTTTAAGCTGCGACATTGTAATCAAGTAAAGAATCTCGTAATGAATTCATCCAAGGAACTTTTTGTGTACTTACGGCTGCTTGTTTAATTGCATCGGGATCATTGTTTTGGGTCGTAATTTAGAGTTTTCTTTAATCTTTTTATATCATATGGTCAGGTATCAGCTGTAGTAGATGACGTATACTCGGAACATTCCCACGTGGCCGGATCCTTCACGATGCTGGCCAGCTCGAGGGCCCACGTTGGAGGTTCCTTAAATGCACGGGCACTTCCTGGAGCCAGGGTTCATACTAACTTCATAGGGTGTCTGAAAAAGGTAAATTAGGAGTTAAAGACAATGTTATGGATTATGAGTGGTATAAAGCATCTATGTTATATTTTTTATCCCGGATCTTGGTTCCGATACATGTTTATGCTAAGTTATTTTTATCTTATATCCAATATGGGTAGGATAAAGGTGCTAGTTCTTTAAAACTTAATACTTATAAGATGCAACGTTAGTTAAACTGCTTTTGATAAGGTACATTAGGAAAACCGCACTGTCATATATTCATAACAAAGGCTTATTGAATTAAGTGTATTATTTTTGTACCAGGTTGAGTTCTCAGCGGACACTCTCCGTCTGAACCTCATAGACCTAGCTCGCACCGGTAGTAAGTTAATCACTGTAACTGGACGCTTGGAGTATGTCTGCACGGCGACTGATGCAGCCGATCCTGTCACCTTCGCTACCAGGGACGCGCACCTGGTGAGTATACACATTATATATACACACACACACACACACACACACACACACACACACACACACACACACACATACATACATACACACATATTATGAGTATATACACACTATTAATATTGATTGTACGAAAAAATCGGTGCTTTAAATATATCTCAAAAATAATTTCTTTACAGTGACGCTCTAAAAAAATTTAAAATTATATTTAGTTTGTAAGTTTCGTATAGAAAGAAGTACGTATTACGTAAATGGATAGTTATTTTTATATTATTTTTTATTTATTTTTATTTAAATGTGGTTCTCGTCTCTGAAAAAGGAAAAAATTAAAAATTCAATCAAAATTTTATATTTATTTAGGATTATCACTGAATATATTCAATATATTATAGCAACAAGTTTTAAAACCAATTTTTTTCTCAAAGATGTATATTGAAAGGGATTAAAATTTTTATTTAGAATATTTATCATTATTATTCTTATATTTTTCATATTCTTTTTAAGCCGTCTATTTATAAAATCTCTTTCCAGTATTTTCTGTAATCCTTCAAATAAAGGTAACGCTAGTTGTACAATCTTCCAACTTTAGCGAAACTTAAAGACATTTCTTTTATCTTAATATTGGCTTGTTCAATATCGCTCAGTGTAAAGACCGCCATCTGTTTAAAAAGTTGTTAGTTTCAACATAAAGTCTTTATACAACTGGTCTATTAAGATTTAAGATAGCTGGAGATTTGTATCATTTATATAGTATTTTTTATAGATCAGCATTTTAAAATTAAACATTATTATACAATAATTCTTAATATTTTCTCAATATTAGCGTCATCAAAAAACTCTATTTCGTATTAATAGGACCCTTATAGTTGCTTTTACTTTGATGTAACAATAAAAAATACTAGACAAAATTAAAAGAAACGAAATACAACATTACTAATTAGTGAATATATTTTTTACTTTACTTTAAGTAATCTGTTGGTTAATTTTAAAGAGCATATTAATTATTCCAATGGTTGATATAATACAAATTATATGTAACATAGATGAAAACTGTTATATGTTTATAGGTACATCATCAATTCATACTAATTCCTTTAACGACTCAGTATTGATTCGAGGAATTGCTTTAAAGTCAAGGATACATAGTGTACACGAGACTGCTCAAATGTACATATATATAAGAATTATTACTTATTTCTATTATATAGTTATTGATAATATATAAAGATATGAATACATATGTACATATATATGTAACACGTTGTTGTAAATAAGTTTGTGTAAGTTGTATTTCGTACAATATGTTGTGTTAGAAGTTCCCAGAGCTTGTTCAGTGAAGGGTACGGTATGCATAATTAATTAAATTAATATTTGTTACATAATATCTAAGAGCTGGTATTGACCTACACTTGGAACGCGAAGCCTTCAGTATCCTGACTCATTATACTCGCTAATAGAGGTCGACTGAAGTGAAAATAATCGTTTCAACTCTTTGATAAAATCACTTTGAATGTTATAAGGAGTTCTAGGAATTAATATTACTAATACAAATAATCTTTTGTTACGAACATTTTATCAGATTTATTATTTTAGTATAAATTTTACTAAAATATCCATAATAAAATTTGTATTTTTCTAGTTATCTCGACCAACTCTAAAATATTATGGAATATTTTACAAGCTATCCAATAGATTACGAATTTACCGCCGCTATAAATAGTCCACCTTTTATGTTTTAGATAGTTGGAGCGAATAAATTTGTAAAATGTATTTTAAACATAATTTTCAATATGGTAATTCATAATAGTCGAGGTTATTACTGTTTTTGTGTATAAGAATATAAAATAAACACATTATTTGAACAAAATTGGAGCACTATACGAGTGGTTTATCGCGTGGTTGATCTTGAAATTGCTTTAACCCCGATGTGAAGGCTTTTGTAACTGTTAGCGTCAATTATGTATCGGCTTTATTCATATATAAAGATTCTACTATCTGTACATATAATATTAATACAAGCATAATGAGTATCGAACTGTGGTATATTTAAGAATGTTATTTCACAGATATTACCGAAATGGGAAGCTGTAAAGACTGGGACTATATCTTTCAAGTTCCGTACGAACGAACCGAACGGCTTGATTCTGTTCAACATGGGCGCCAAGCCACCAAGGGTAGGTTGCACGGTAAGGGGTGAAGCTTTTGGGGTTGTACCGTCACTGAGACAAATCAGATCGCAACCATGCCGAGATCATCATCACTATTCTCCAAAACTTCTTTCCTTCCGAATATCAGCTTCGTCACTTACATTAACATATCATCTATTTATATGAGATGGCAATTGTATCGAAATATTTTAGGTATAGTTTTAAACCGTTCACATTATCGCGTCTCCATCAAAGGATTTAATAAATGTGTTCAGTAAACTGGAAGCGATATTTTATTTACTTTCGTTTCATTAAATATTTTTTATGTACATATATGTTCATATTATATCTGTATTAAACACGTACTAGTATGTCGTAGTTATAACAAGTTATAGTAAATCTATTTAATATCTTGCCATCTCATATAAACTGTACTCAATGGATACGCGCGATACATTCGTGTTGTAGTTGTAATGTAATTTTGTTAATATTGAACTATATCCAGTGAGTACACTGCATGGTAGGTCGAGGTGAGTTACCGTTGGAGACACAGTGTAGGGGAATTTGTGTATGGTACCTTATAAAGTTTCACCCACTTGGAATATGAAGTGTTTTGTGTATTATGTTATCGATGTGCACGTAGATCCCAGCACACTACACAGATCATGGCACGTTGGCGGTCGATGGTTGTAGATGGCCCATAGTGGTCCATAGTGGTCCATAGTGGCCCATATTGGCCCATAGTGGTCCATAGTGGTCTATGATGGTCATTGGTGGCTTTAAGAACTACGTTACGGCTAGATATATTTAGGTATATGTAAGGTTCAGTATTGTGGCTTTTTTATAAAAAAAAGCTTTATTAATACCTACACAAATTCGCACCATTATCCCACTGAGCTTTGAAATAATATTGTTAATAAGTAGTCTTAGTCTATTATGATGTATGAATAGTGTTAAAGCTATATAAATATTTGTAGTAAATATCTTTCAACATCAATTTATTTGTAGATATAAATAGATTGCTTTAAATCTAATTAGTGAAACTCATACTGGTCTGACTTTAAAACACCATCTAGTTTCTAAATACCATTTATTAGAAGTAAAAATGATAATAGATTCCTTGCATGTATTTGTAGACAGTTTTCACGTTTATTAGATGCATGTATAAAATAAATGTAGTGAAATTTATTGAGATAAATCTGATTTATGATAATCAAACTCGTATATTTAACTTGTATACAACATACAAAACAATAATCCTAGTATTTATGTAATATTCATGAATACATAACATGTGTAGAATAACTGAATAATATACACTGACCATTTGTACCTGATTAGTTTCTGTTAGCTGAGACTGATCGTCTAATTAACGAAGTGGAGTAATTAATAAGTCATTTAGTGTTTTGATTATCGACTATTAACATCGTTCAGTACACATATATATTAATATTTAGAGCACTTAAATGTATACGTAAAATTATAGACATAAAAATAAACATATGTGTGCAGTAACGAGTATTTTGTATATTTATTGTATTTGAAAATCAATCGAATAGTAATTATTTATTAAGATTGCATGCTGCGTGAAGATTTTTGCAGTAAAAGATGTTGTTTACGTCGTATTGTGTTTCAGGCGGACCTTTTCGCGGTTGAGATTCTGAATGGGTACATATATGTGCATGTGGATCTTGGGTCAGGTGGGGTGAGAGTGAGGGCGTCGCGGAGGAGGGTCGATGATTCGCACTGGCATGAGTTCCTCTTGAGAAGAACCGGTAGAGATGGCAGGGTCACCGTTGATGGGGCCAACGCGGAGTTTAAAACGCCTGGTGAGTTAACTGTAACATATATGACACTAGTATTTTTCGGATTATACTATGTGTAGTGTATGTGTCTATACAATAGATATAATACACTGTCACACATACCACACTGGAGGAGGTGGCATGTGTGACTAGCGCGGAGTGGAACGGCGGCGTGCGCCTGCGCTCTAGGCGGAGTAGTAGTGACACAGTGACTAGTTATACTTACATGTAGGACCAGGGATCCTACACTATGCGTATTTTATTATTTGAAAAATTACTTACTATCGTTGTTTCGGTTACTTTTTAGCAACCGTGATCACGGACAGATGAAATGTCTTTATAATATTCAGGACCAAGATATGATTGTGTTTCGTACTGATTTTATAGTATATTTATAGAATTCATTTTGGAAAGCTGAAATTCTTATACAAGTGAATCATAGCTATACATGTAATTTCATAATAATATTAAGTTTTTCGTATGTACATATGTATACGTATATTGGAATGGAAAAATGGGAGCAAATATCTTGTCACATACTGGACAGGTTTTCCTTCTTTCAAAATGTACAGTTTTTAGACTGCAGTAGAATTCATGTTACGATATATAATAATATGACGAGCGTTTACTCGCGCTAGATAGGGGCTCCTTAAACCTACACCTGGGTCACAAGTCCCAGGCACTGTTGAAGCTCCCTGTAACGATAAACCGGTAAACGGTGAATGCATTAAATGCTAAGAGTTTTCGTCTTATTTTTGTACAGGTGAATCCAATCAGTTAGAGCTCGACGGCCCGTTATTCGTTGGTGGATTAGGCTCGGAGTACTCCGCTTCAAGGACACCAGCCGCTCTATGGACTGCGGCTTTAAGACAGGGCTTCGTCGGTTGTATCAGGGATTTAGTACTGAACGGAAAACCACAGGATCTGACCGCATTCGCCAGACAACAGGATTCTGGTAAGCAAGACTATTTACCTATGGTTTGGAATTAAAATAATTTAAAGTAATTGAAACGAAATAATTAATCAAGCTCAACAAGATATTAACACACTAGTTCATTGGTTTCAACAAAATTTACTTACGATCAATGCATCTAAAACTAGTTACGTCATTTTTAAATCCAAAAACATTCCAGTACACACACCTCTCGGAATTAATAATCAAATACTGCAACAATTACAATCTGAAAAATATCTAGGATTACGATTAGACGATTGTTTGAACAAGAGGGTACAGATTGACCACGTAAGATCAAAGCTTTGTTCTTTAATGGGTAAGCTACGTAACTTCGTTCACTGTGTTCCTAAACAAGTGAGACTGATAGTATACAATTCTTTAGTAAAACCACATTTACAATATTTAATTGAAATTTAGGGTTTTGCTCCAAAAAGCAACTTAAAGGACCTACAAATTGCACAAAATAAAATCATTTAAATATTATTTAATTACGATTATTTAACACCTACAGTCAAGTTGTATAAGGAGATAAAGCCCATGAATATAAAACAATTACACGCATATGGCACTTGTATATTAATAAGAAAAATCCTGAATAAATCAAATAATTCACAAATCTCATTCACAAAAGTTCATCAGGCTCACACCCGTAGTAGCCGAAGGGAAGACCATATCCTATTACCTCAAGTCCGAACCGCTTTAGGTATGCGCACCGTGATCTTTGCTGGAGTACAAATCTATAATAAAAATAAATAACTGACGATCAAACTGTTTTTGTTACTCTGTGTCTATGAGTTTGCATTTCTTATCGCTGTTTTGTACATTTTGTATGTTGTTGCTTTGAGGGTATGTTTTAAATTTCTTGTTTAATGCAAAATTTATTGTAAGAATATGTTAAACTACCTAGTAATAAAATTATTATGATTGTCGAAGTTTTATTTTAAAATATGTTTATAGTCATAATTTTCTCAAGTAAGTGAAATTTAATTTCTTTTTGAGAAAATAAAGTATCTTTAACTGTAAATACTAAATATACTTAAGTATCGGCATTTACGTGATACAAAAATGGTCATAAAATCAATGAATGTTTCTGTTATAAGGTGATAATAATTTTTTCTTATATATTTCAGCGTCTGTCCGTCCCGCGTGTCATGTTCTGATGAAGCAGTGTGCGAGTGCTCCTTGTCAACACGGAGCACCTTGTGCTGAAGGCTGGAACAGACCTCTGTGTGACTGTTCCGGGACCAACTACGGTGGACCTACTTGTGGACGAGGTCGGTAAAAAATAAGTCATGTTTGAAAAAGATAACTTTTCAAATGCAGTAAATATGTCCTTATCATAGTCTAATGATGTTCATTTCGCTTGTATTAACACAAAAAATGACATACTATATAAAATTAAATAAATACCTAAATAAAATTAAATCACTTTATTTCTAGAACAATATTCCAATTTCACAAACACTTATTATTTAATGACTGACTTACTACACTCAAAATCGACAAATAAGACTGGATAAACTACATTTTGATTAGAATTCGTATTTAACACTCGATTGTTATTTCAAGTTCAGGAACAAGTATTGTGATTTTATAGAAATATCCTCATCAATGCATTGACTTGTATTATTACTGCTTACTTTTCAGAGTCTCCAACGATATATTTGAATGGCAGCCAGCATTTAACTGCGTCATTGGGTTCGGAGCATGTGACGCAGACGGAAGAGTTATTATTAAGGTTCCGTACCACAAGAGCGGGTCTTCTGCTAAGAACTGCTTCTGAACACTCCGCTGATAGGATTGAACTGGCTGTAGCCGCTGGCAGGGTGCGGGCTAGTGTTAGATTGGGAGACAGAGAAAAGGTATAACGTAATGAGAATTTTCTCGAGTTTTTTTCATTTAAATGAAACTAATAATCCTTGGATATACTAGGCGAATTCATTTTTGTAAAAAAAACTACATACATACGACGTTTCGGCTACTTTACAGCAACAGATCACGGTCATTCACATCTCGTCTGCCCATTTAAAGGTATAACATTACGGTTTGGGTTATTGAAACATCAGGTGAAATGTAATAAACAATACACAATCTCAGAGGACATTTGTGCGTTTCATCCATAGTGAGAATGCTGAGAACTTTTGTATTTATGCCAAAAAATACAAGAATGTATTTTGTTATAGTAAAATAAGATTTCTGCTAATGCATTGTCCTTATCAGAATATAATCAACGTTAAAACTGAATAGTAAATCGTTCTATACAATAGTAGTGTATATTCCAAGTCTGTGATATATACAGGGTGTTGTATTTCCAGAACCTCCTAGGCGGCAGCAGCGTGTGGGACGACCGCTGGCACACGGTCCGCTTCAGCCGGCGCGCTTCCAACCTCAAGCTGCAGGTGGACGGCGCGCCGCCCGTGCGCGGTACGTTATGTACGTATACCGCACTGCACTCCTCAGTTATACCCTACAGCGGACGAACTACTACACCGACTACTACTACCCGCCATATACTGCCGAACATGACAAGCAATAACTAATATCTCAATCTGTATTACATAAGAACGTAGTCTGGACTTCGCATTGACACAGAATTTTCAATGTGAAGATAAATTTTCTGCATTTTTTATCCTACAAAAACACTACAGATATATCTTAACCACATTTTTATCCAGTATTTCTACATGACAAAAGTTATTCAGTTTCTATATACGTTTAATTTTCGGTGGTAGGTGGTAAGTCGGTTTAGTTGTTCGTTCCGTATAAATGTGTGTCGGACGTGGTGTAGCGTCAGTTCCGGCGTCAGACTGTAACAGCCTCAAAGACGATGACCTCCAGATACATTAACTGCGTGTATCTCTTCTCAGAGGTTAAGTAAAACAATGTACTTGTAGTTTTGTTATCAATAGGAGGTTTTGTATGCTAATGTTTATCCGTGGAACAAAATATAAACACCATATACATACAGAACACCAGACATATCGAGATCTGTAGTGAGTTTAATTGCTTTAGTGGATTTAATTTATAATCATTCGTAAAATCGCTGAACAGAAGAGCGGTTAATGTTTCATGTCTCGGAATTTTAATCTGAAAGGTAATTTTTTGTTAGGACCCTCGATGTTAGATCCTATTAGTCGTAGATTACTGCTTATTTTTTCGTTATTTTTAGCTAGCACTGTGCCCTTCACGTTTCTGTTCTTGTGCTTTTATTTCTTTTATGTTTCTTATTCCTGTAGTTTTCCTGTCTTTTCGCCTTTTTTTTCACGTCTTGGTACTTGTTTTGGTGTGACGTTCGATTTAATAATTATATAAATGTTTATAATACCTTAAGAAACAAGTATTAGGACGAAAACTCAACTTAGATATAAGAACCATATGCTATACTATATACTGTACAGTATACACTTACAGAGGAAACGTAGATAAGCTCGTTCAGCTACTTGGAAACAGAGAACACAAACGTCTATACATGTACAACTACTCTGAACCAAACTGTATAGTTTTACGTAACGAAGTATTATTTTATTTGGCTGTGTGACAATCTATGGGCTGATAGACTCTATGTAAATATATTTAAATGGCGTTGTTAATTTGCTAGTTACTATGATTTAACGTCAATGTTGTGCGTCGTGTGTGGTCGAGCGCGCATGTTATCATCTCCTTTGATTTGCGTTTCAGCCGAAACAATTTTAGGAAAAGCTTCGACCCTTGAGATCTCTTCCTTACATTTGGGAGGACTGTTCCATCCTGAAGAAGAAATTCAGATGACGTCCACGTTACCGAACTTCGTTGGATATCTGCAGAAGTTCGTCTTCAACGGAATAAAATATATAGATCTAGCCAAAAACCTCGGGATAGGTAGTGGTGACGAACATAACGACATACATGACACTTCGAATATTGTATTTACTGGGAAGTTCGTGAAACCGGACTCCTTGAACGTCTATAAAGCCGTGACATTCAAATCGAAGCACACATACGCGGGGCTGCCATTGCTCAAAGCGTACGGAAACACATATTTGGATTTCTATTTCCGTACGACAGAAATGGACGGTCTGTTGTTCTACAATGGGGGGAAGAAACAAGACTTCATAGCTATAGAGCTGGTGAACGGTCATGTTCATTGTGTGTTTAACTTGGGTGATGGTGTGGTGACCATGAAGGATAAACTGAAGACCTTCGTTAATGATAATCGATGGCATACAGTCTCTATACGGCGACCGACTCCTAAAATACACACCATGCAAGTCGATGATGACGTGGAAATGCATACCACGAGTAAGTAATACATTGTTATATTTTTTTACCTATTGAAAAAGACCATATTCACATATCTTCTTTTTCCTGGCGATTTTCCAGCTTTAGCCAGGGTCTGCCTATGTATATTGACATAGATATTGAACAATACTGAAAGTTTTAATTTGCTAGCTATTTGAGTTAGTAATCGTTTTTAATAATTCCGTTTTTTTTTCGTCTCCAGGTTCAAACTTAATGCTTGAGTTGGACAGCGTGTTGTATGTTGGAGGGGTACCCAAGGAGATGTACACGTCACTTCCGGTGGGAGTGTTGTCACGGCAAGGGTTCGAGGGCTGTATGGCGAGCCTGGACCTGCCCGGGGAGTCCCCGTCCTTGATCGAAGACGCGGTAGTACCTAGTTCATCACTGGTCTCGGGGTGTGAAGGTTTGTCTTTATAGATATTTTATTCATGGTCCTTAGGTATTATTTTTAAAAATCTGCTGCGTATTATCTTGAATTCACGATGTAAATATATTTTACTTGTTATAGGACCCACGAAGTGTACTCATAATGCGTGCGCAAATAAAGGAGTGTGCGTCCAACAATGGAACACGTACGTGTGTGACTGCGACCTTACGTCTTTTACTGGACCAACTTGTTATGACGGTAAAGACTAATATTAACCGAATTATTTTTCAAGTGTACTTTAAGGACCAATTTCAACAAAATGAACTTTATCTAATCTTAGTTTAATATAAATTTTTAAGAGACAACTATTATTGTTTCCTTGCATATACAAAAATCTTTGAATGAAGTCTTAGGTATCAGATACTATAGTAACAAGTTAAACTTCCTATCTTTATATATATAAAAATTACATGTCACGTGTTTGTCCGCTATGGACTCCTAAACTACTAAACCGATTTTAAATTTGATTTTCATTCCGTCTGCATTTTGATCCAACTTGAAAGATAGGATAGCTTACATCTCAATTTATAGTCACAATATTATTTTATTGCAAATTATTATTTGTCTATTAAAGAAAATTATTTGTCATTATTACAATTATCTGTTGACTGAGTTAAGTATTCAATAGATGGCGCTATGTTAAAAAAACAAACGTCATATATGAGCGACTATTTAATACATAATAGCATAACCACTACGTGTTTCTGTGGCTAAGGTATAACCTAACTTTATTTATTAATATAACGTAACAGATATTTCTTGATTATAGGGTGATACGAAGTTCACCGGGTCTTCTAGTAATAATATAGGTGCTAACTATATAGTATCCGTTATTTCCAGAGTCGATAGCGTTCGAGTTCGGTCCGGGTCGCGGCGTGTTGTCGTACTCGTTCCCGCCCGGGGCGCGCGCGGACACGGACACGGACCGCGTGGCGCTCGGCTTCCTCACCACCAAGAGTGACGCGGTGCTGGTGAGGATCGACTCCGCCGACACGCAGGACTACATGCAGATGGAGATCGTGAGTTATATCATATATTCGTCATCATCATCCTAGCGTCTACCCCGGTTGTCCCTCCCTCCAAGGTCAGCTTTCAATATATTCATCATCATCATCCTAGCGTCTACCCCGGTTGTCCCTCCATCCAAGGTCAGCTTTCAATATATTCATCATCATCATCCTAGCGTCTATCCCGGTTGTCCATCCCTCCAGGGTCAGCTTTCAATATATTCATCATCATCATCTAAGCGCCTATCCCGGTTGTCCATCCCTCCAGGGTCATCTTTCAATATATTCATCATCATCATCTAAGCGCCTATCCCGGTAGCTCGTTCTATTCACGGCGGGAGAACCCAGGGTCCGCTTTCCTACACATCCTTCTCCACTTTGCCTTGTCTTCTTCTTCTTGTAGAGTCCATTGACACGCAAGTCATCATGCACAACATCAAGCCAACGTTTTTTGGGCCTTCCTCTACTCCTGGTGCCAGGTAGGGTCATATTGAGGCATTTGTAACCCACGTAGTTTTCCGGTCCACGTAAGATATTACCGTACCAGCGTAGACGACTTTCCTGCAACTTGTCGACAATGTCACGGAATATATAGTTGTAGAATAAGTAACTGGTTTCTTTTTAAGTTTTTGACAGTATTACATATTACGAATTCTGCAGCATTTGATTCGTACGAAGTCTGGCAGTATTTGATAGTTATGAATTCTGACAGTATTTGATTCTTGCAAAAATATAGACCTATATCTATTATAATAATGAACGCTTTGAGCTGAATTAATTTTGGAGGTTGCAGGTTTGCAAACGGACGTCATTAATGAATTGTTCCTAAAATTTTCTATAAGTATTTTGATTCATTTTAAAAATTAGCCCATCTAAAATAGTTTCACAAAAGTTATTTCGATATCGTTTAGAAGTCGATATTTTTTGACTTAGCATTGTAAAAATTTCACTAACAAGATTTTTTTAGTGATCCTTAAGATGTTATCCACTCAGATATGAACCATTATCATTTAAATCATTTAAACTTAAACATGTTTTCTTCCTGACAATAAATACTAATAATTTCCTTTCACTACGGGTAAAGGTGTTACAACGTGCTATTATAACCATGTTTCAGATCCGAGGTAATTTATTCACCGTGTACAACGTGGGTGATGGAGAGCATCCTCTGGGCGACGAGTCAGCGCGTGTTGATGACGGCGTGTACCACGTGGCGAGGTTCACACGGAACGGCAGCAGGGCGGCGCTACAGTTAGATGACTATGCTGTTAATATACGACACCCTCAAGGTAATAGAAATAATATCAATAGACGTCTTCATTTAGTTTTAAATTGTACTGTCCTATCAATTCGTCATAACATTTCCACTTTATTAACTATAAGTGTGATAATCTTTTATTTAGTATTTGAAACAAAGATTTGTGTTTCACCTGTAGTACTAATAGTTTAAGGTAAGATACATATAATTTTCTATTAAATTTCTATTTTGATGTACCGTATCGAGATTGTTATAAATTATTTTTGTTAACACCAAAACAAGTCCTAAGAAATATTAAAGTAATACACAAAGGCCTTAATTTATATAAATAGAACTTAATTTATATAATAATATTACCTTTTCATTGTGTTAACCTTGATGTATTTGATTCCGTTTGTGGAAGAGCTGGGACTCCTAACACAAGTTAATTCCATTACTTAAAAAGAGCTTCCTAGCTGTATATTGTATAAGTTACAGAAATTAACAAATTTTATTTATAAAAATTAGAATATTTTTAATTTTTTCATATATTACTGTTGTTATTTCCAGGAGGTCAGCAGTCGACGATCTTCAACAGCATGTCTCGTGTGACGGTGGGCGGTGGTAGCGGCGGTGCGAGGTCGTTCGCGGGGGTGGTGGCCGGGCTGGTGGTGAACGGTGCGAGGGTGCTGGACCGGGCGGCCGCCGCGGATCCCGCCGCCGCGCTCCGGGGGGACGTGAGGCGAGCAGCTGGACCTCTGGACAGAGACCTTAATAGGATGCAGCAGGTGGGCTACGACCTGGAACTAACTTATATTATTGAATGAAACTTGTGATACCTCTATAATGTAACGAATATTATTCGGATTACTACGTGTATTTTATCCCTACTAATATTATAAATGCGAAAGTAACTCTGTCTGTCTGCCTGTTAAGCTTACACGCTTAAACCACTAAACTGATTTTAATAAAATTTGGTGCAGTGATTGAGTCGTCCTTGAGAAAGAACATAGGATAGTTTTTATCGTAGACTTTTGAAAGGTCCTTTTGGAAACGCGATATAAACGAACTCCACGCGGGCGAAGCTGCGGGCGGAAAGCTAGTTATTGTAATAAACTACATACTCCAGACGTTTCGGTTACTTTTCACCAAACGTGGTTATATCTCGTCTGCCGGAACTATATAGTTTTTTACAATAATATTGTTCGGTGGTCTGGAGGCCTCACTATGCGACTTATTCTCTACAGATTGAACGTGTGCAAAAAAGGTTTTTAAACTACCTTTTGTTTGCAAACGGGTTGTCAAAAAGGAAAATGTGGTCTTATCTTGAACGGCTGAAGTACTTCGGGATGATTTCCTTAGATGAACGTAGAAAGCGCTTGGACCTGTTATTTGCTTCCAAAATTTTCAATAATGAGATTGATTGCCCTCAGCTATTCCATAAATTTAACATACGTGTATAGTGCGTTTGATTTAAGCTGAGCTTTGCATTTGTGTGAGTGCACACGGATAGTATAGGTGTGATATCAAATTTTTAAATGCTACGTTCTTTTCTAGTTTTTAACCCGTTTATTCTGCTTTTACTCCGCCCCGCACTTTCCTCACTTCACTTTTTGTACCGGTAGCAAAATGAGATAATGAAAACGCAATGTCAAGTTAATAAGAATTTGTATATATTTAAAATATAATAAAATTTAATTCTAAAACTTTTTTGTCTAACTCTACTTTTACTTTCAGTCACACAAATGCAAAGCTCAGCTTAAGTCTAACAGACTATACCAATAAGGCCTCCTCGTTACAAAATAAGTCCCTTATATCCACCATCTCGAAAAACTGTGTTCGGATCAAACTCCCCAGTTTCCAGACTTAGCAAGCTGGTTAATGATTTGTCCGCCTTATGGTTCACTTTTAGTTTTTGATTTAATCTTTTCAATGTTTATTTAAATTTCTATTTTATTTTAAAAATTTAACTTTTTTTAAAATTTTTGCTTTTGTTGTTACTGCGGCTCGCGCTGGGAGGTCTAATTTAGATAGAAATTAAGCATGATGTATCTACCTATAAATGTTTGTCACACCTAGTTTTAAGTTAGGTGTATTGTATATTTTTCTTACGTATGTGATGATGTGAACAAATGTTGGTGGATCAAATAAATGAATAAATAATAAAATACTCGTAGTAATCCGAATAATATTAGTGTTATTTCAACGTCCCTTTTAGTATTTTGAAAAGCTAAATTAAAGGCATGATCATTGTTTTATTCAAATTTGCTTCGATTAAACTATTCTATTTCCTACCAAAAGATACATGAAGAATTCTAAGAACTTCCTTCTCGAATTATGCTACAAAACATTATGAATGTTATTCTATTATTATGTATGTTATTCTATTATTATGTATATTATTCCCCCAGACCCCTCCATCAGGTTACGGTGGTCCGGGCGCTCCAGACGAGCTGGTGTTCTCGGGCGCGGGGTCGGGGTGTCGTGATGATGATGAGGACGCGTGTGTGTTACCTGACGCGGGCTCCGGGGACGACCTCATCACGCCGGTATACGTGCCCTCTACTAGACGACCGCCCGCTAAGATGCATAAGGTATTATTACATAGTATTGCCCTTTCCCTGTTCCCAACCTTTCCTTATATTGTGAGTAAGAGAGAATGAGCGAGTGTGTGTGTGTGTGTATGAGTGAGTGAGAGAGCCGGTTGCCTTTTCCCTATTCCCACCCCTCCCTTTTCCCCCACAAGTAAGTTTGGCAACGCATCCGCCACATCTATGTTGTGGATGTCCATGGGCGACGGTCACTACTGACTATCAAGTGGGCCGTCTGCTCGTTTGCCACTTTTTACATAAAAATAAAAATTGATTATGATATGTATGTGTAGAAATTTAGGATGTTTGTTATGAGTTTCATATTAATGCCAGCAGGTTGTGGAAGATATTTACAATCAGTTACATACTGTATTCTTGTGCCCTATTTACATAATATACATAATTTCTATCAGTGAGGACGGTAAGAACAATTACAGGGTTTTTAAAAATTCCAGTAATAAAAAAATATTGATGAATAATATATATTTTTCTTTTTTGATTCATATGAAAACTATAGGTAACACTTCAAGCATTCTACCTCTATGAAAAAACATACCTGCACAAAAACCTCTCTGTGCATTAGCATTTCATTGAATGATTGTTTTCGAATTTTTGTCTAATACAGAGATAGCAATGGGTTTACTTAAAATGTAAAAAAATTTAAGGTTAAGCCACTTAGGAGTGGTTATAAAATATTTCCGAACAGGTGATATAAATAGACACGAAGTAAAGCCACTCTTCCATTCCATATCATGGAACAGATAGTTTAGTAAAAGACTGTTTTACTTCTATTCTGCTTGTAACTTTGTTTCTAATTTTGAATGTTCGATTATAGTAATTGGTTTTGAACCACCAGTGTTTATATGATTTCTCATCAAACATGTTTTAAAAATAAGTATATTTTTTATGTTAGGGTGACGTGAGCGGCAAACTGATGAAACCCTGCGACGATGAGGATTGTATTGAAGGATCGGGCTCTGGAGGGGAGGAAGTTACCGAGCCAGAACATCCCTCCACTACGTTAGTTACATTATTATTAAACTATAATAAATCTTTAGCTTTGAAATATTAAGTTGGTCTACAAAATCATTGTTTTTTAAGATATGAAAGTTATCCTTCTTAAGTAACATTAGGTGAACACATTTTTGCTCTAGAAAAAGGTTTAGATATTTCGGAGAAAGATGGTTTATAGTACGAATTACGAGCCATAAAAAAGGGTACATTTCAAGTATTGTGTAGACTGCATAAAAAACACTAAGTGTTACATAATGTAAAAATGACAACTGTAGAAATGTAGTTGCAAGCAATCAGTTCCCTCTAATCCTTAATGGTGTTAAGAAACACTTCCAAAACTATATTTAAATAAAGAAAATCTTCAATCATTATAAATACACCGTCACATATGTATAATCCCTTTACTTATAAAATATTTTCAGGAAAATCATCGAGTATCCCAAACAAAAAACCAGCGGCAGCAGCACCCACGCGATGACGTCACCTACTGCTGCTGTTTCCACGGAGCACGACCGGTCCGTAGGGTCCGTTGGGTCCACGGGGTCTGTGGGGTCCACGGAGATGACGTCACGCACGGACCCCGGCACCGAGCACCCCACCACAATACACGACCACGACAACATGCACGCGGGGACAATGGACACGGACACTACGGATAAGGAGACCACGCCCACCGATAGTAGGATAGATGGTAATACACATGATATATTATACTAGTTTCTGCCCGCGACTTCGTGCGCGTTAATTTCGGAATTTGTTATATATGTATATATGACCGGGCGGACACTCTTCCGCCGTAGATGCTGTCAATAACTGGATATTGTACTAAATTTGATATTCTTTTTCGATGGAACAGAATTAAATATTCTATGTCCGTGTCCTGGTTTTAGATATCCCCTCATGAAATTTTCAATGAGATCCCTACAGATCCTATAATTGTAATATCAAAATCCTATAAAGTCGCGTCTTTACTTGATATCTTAAATCCAATCCAAGCGATAACTGATTCAGTAAAGCAGCAGGAGTTATTACAGCGGTCGCAATTTCGAAAGTGCTCGTATTTATGAAGTTTTCATTCTATATCTATTTGGAATTTAATTCAAATTTAAACTTAACATTGATTAATGTTATATATACAATTAAATAAATGGTAAGACATGAAATATTGCTAACAAATATATATATATATATATATATATATATATATATATATATATATATATATATATATATATATATTTTCTTTTTTTTTTTCTTTTTATCCTTAATTGTATGCTCGAGTGTAACTGTAGAACTGTAATGTGTAATCCTAAATTGGCCCTGTTTATAGCTATATTGTTACTATTCTAAAATTACTGTAACGCTGTTGGATTTCTAATAAACGAAAAATAAAATATAAAATAAATCACCCAACAGATCGCACCCATACATTCACTCATACAACGGACCACGAGCCGACGTACTCACATACAGACTACGAGACGCACACAGACTCACGACCCACACACGACAACGAGAGGAACAGGATCTCTGACTACAACAACGAGCCGGAGATCACCACCAAGTGGTACCACCCGAAGACTACGGATAACAGGGTCGTACCGCCTGAGTCAGAGTTCTTCGCTACCATCGTTGGTAAGTTGGGATATTGGATATTCAGAAACTATCCATCATTAGAGTTAAAAATCCTTGTTGGATATGTAGGATATGCAGAAACTGTCCATCATTAGTGTAAAAACTCTTGTTGAATATTCAAGCCAATGTAGAGGATGTTGGTAATGAAAATGGAGATAAAAATTGTAATAAAGAAGAATAGAAATGTATATATATTTAGATGATTTCATCGTAATGATAAAAAAAAGTAAATGTGCAGTCAAGTGCAAGTTAAATATTTATGTTATTCGATATAAGGATTATGTTAAATATTGGATTCTTAGTTTAAATTTTCTATGCTTAATTTATCTTTTTTGGCGAAATAATGGGTTTATTATTACGTATTTTATATATGTTTATATTTTATTCCAGGTATCGTGGCGTCCGTGTTGATAGCGATCATTCTGATAGTTATAATAATATTGAAGCTGCTGTTCCGTCTCGATCCTTCATACAAGGTCACTGAAGATAAGAGTTACCAGCAGAGTGCCAGCGCTGCTCTGTTAGGGAATCAGGTATTAAAACATATACTTATATTATGAGATCTAAGATTTTCGCGAGTACTCATTTAAATAAAACGAATATTTTCGGATTTACTACGCGATTTTTTATTCTTGTCAACAAACTACATACTCCCGACGCTTCGGCTACTTTACAGCAATATATTGTGCGTAGTTTATAGTCAAAAATAAAAAACCGCGTAATAAATCCGAAAATATTAGTTTCAGTTAAATATACTTGTATTAAAGGAAAAAAATGAGGTTCTCTATTATTTACCTTATTTTTCATACACAGTAATTGTTTAAAGAATGTCAAAGAACAATTGCAATCTTAAAGCTATAATACTATAAAAGATCTATATAAGCAATCCTTGAGATGAATATGGGTTTGATACCAGATACAACTTATAAATCCCTACTAATACTATAAATGTGAAAGTAACTTTGTCTGTCTGTTACTCTTTCACGCCTAAACCACTAAACTGATTTTAATGAAATTCAGTACAGAGATAGAGTTGACCTTGAGAAAGAACATAGGATAGTTTTTATTACAGAATTTTTGAAAGGTTCTTTTGGAAACGCGATGTAACCGAACTCCACGCGGGCGAAGCTGCGGGCGGAAAGCTAGTTATTGTAATAAACTACATACTCCAGACGTTTCGGTTACTTAGCAACCGTGATTACATCTCGTCTGCCGGAAGTATTTAGTTTCTTACAATAATAAAAAACACGTAGTAATCTGAATAATATTAGTATCATTTAAAGGTACCTTTTATTCTTTTGTAAAGCTAAGTTAAAGGCATGTTCATTGTTTTCTTCAGATTGTAATAAAACCTCTTATTCTATTATTATAGGCACACTCCGGCTACCAGGCAGCAAGTGGTATGAATGGTGGTGGTATGAATGGTGGGGGTAACGGGGGGGCGCGCTCCTTACAACCGCTACCACTCAACCGAGCTCCGCAACCTGTTAAGAGAGACGGCATTAAAGAGTGGTATGTGTAGGAGTGAGTAGGGGGGGAAAAAAGAAGGAGGGAGGAATGGGGGGAGGGGGTACGTAGTGTGATGTACTGTAATAAAGATTAGTTCAGTGTTTATTAAAGGTTTGATGATCCATATATCTGTAATTGATTGTAATGTATGTGGTGAGATATTTGTTATGTACGTTTTATGTTTCGATGTTTAATGAACAATATGTATTGTCTCCACCGTTGTAACTGCGACCTCCGGATAAGTATAGGGATGTATTAAAATTGATATAATCGATCTTGTAATATTCCAAGTAAATAACCAAAATTTAAAATATAGTATTGTTACATTTAATATTAATATAATCTCTATACTTATCGCTCCCCTACACCTACCTCCTGTATTGATTGTTCTGTTAACTGATGTGAATGTCGAATTTCACCATCCATAAATGAATCATAATATTATTACAATAAATAGCTATTAGTATCATAAAATAATGAATCTAAAGTCGAGCTGAGTTTATTACATATTTTTATTCATATTATATTTTAATAATTTTACTTATAATATCAAAAAGTTTCATTACATTGGAGGTAAAATTCGGCCGCTCAGACATTGCCTTTCTGCCATTTGTGGGAAACTGTCCGCTGGTTCAAACTTACATCGCGATTTCAAACTCTGAGCGACCGGCCTGTAGTCTTTATCAAGGATTGTATAATTACTGGTTCTAGTTTTGTCTACTACATCTTACCTTTGTTTCTAAACCTTTAGAGATTTGGGTGTCTCTGGCCCGATTGACTATTTATTAAATTATGCATTCACTCACTCCAGAATCCATTCTTGTTTTTAATCATCTCTTTAAAATAAAAAGTAGGTTCCACAGTGACTATGATTTGAATTTGGTCAAAATTTGAAGATATAATGAACCCATAAGAAACTAGACCTTAATATTATCAAATCTGGTACAGTCTTATAAACTGTTTTATTCTTCTGAAAGAAAATCCATGATGAAGATCACCTTAAATTTTATACCTGCTTGTATCACGCGATCGAGTTATTGACATTACAAGTAAAGTTCACCAATAATAAGAAAATTAAATTGTTTTTATTGTAATAATATTATGTAATATACTAACATATCAACATTTGTGGATACAATCGATATTCCTTAAGCAGTCTTCACGGTTCTTTTGCGTGAACACGAGTTAATGTTATGATGAAGGATCATGATGGTGATGATTGGCACTAGTCACATATTATATCATTCTATATGTATACCGACTGATACAGACGTGTTAGTGTAAATATTATTGTAACGTAGTGCCGCGTGGACTATACTACAGAACTTTATTATTTTAATTATTTTCTTTGTATTTTCTTTTCTATAGTGTTTTGCATACATGTAATTTTAGATGTTCGTCATTAAGGCCTTCGTATTATTTCGTGTTCTACGGCTGCCGATTCTTGCCTGTCATTTACCTTATGCTAAGATAATATAATGGTTGTAGAGACAACACTATCGGATATTTTAAAATCATTCGATTCCTCTTTATCTTGTTCTATGCATTTGATTTATTCGACTTTTGTAATTCATGATAATAATAGTTTACCGAAACGAAATATCCGATGGGAATCCTCAATAACCATTTAATGTTAGGAGTACAAGCTAATATTTGGGGCTGCCATCACTTAAAATGCATATCGTTCTATTGAAGACTACCGTACTTTTACAATCGATTCTCTTTCCTATATTTATTAGGTCTTATACAATATTTTTAATGGATAGGCGATGCGTGTAGAGAATTATATCTTATCGAGAAGGATGAAGGTCGATAATAGCTTGATAGAGACAGATGTAATCTAGGAGTCGTTAAAACGTACGAGCTTGTAGGAGACCGGCGGTTTACCAGTTCTGTTCATATTGAGTTATGGAACCAACGTTTTGTTTACTGAATAGAGGCCTAAAACAGAATAGTTTATAATCATTTGTTGAATCAAATGTAAATATTGATAGTGAATGATGTTTAATATCCTCTTACCGAGAGCTAGATTCTCCTAAGTCCTAAAACCTTACATTCTATAAACGCTTGACTCATAACGATATCACCAAGACTTGAGGCATGGCTGTCGTGTTTATATGTGTGACGTCATAACCACTAGTCCCCATTATATTAATAAACAGAGTGTACCGGCTAAGGCCTGTGCACACTCCACCGTCCCGTTACTATTATTTTTCTCTATCCCGATAACATTTTCGATTAGCTTTAAAATCATATTTATATAGATTGTTATGGAGCACAGGTTTTAGGTATTTGAGGTTGCATTTATTGTATATAGTAAATTATTAAGCGGCGTAGGGTGTAACAACACTCGTTTTACGGCACAAAATGTTAGATGAAAACAATTTGTTTGTCAATTTTAGTGGTAATTTAATAGTTAATGTATTCGTATTGTTTGTATCTATGTGTTCTCTTTGTTTACTGTGAGTCGTCAGCGAGTGCTCTCATGTTTTGAATTAACCGCATACAACCAAATGTCTTTGATATTTTTAAAATAGTTTTTTTATTACAATAAAATTATTTGAAGTTGTTGTACAGCCGACTGAGTTCGGATCGAGATTTATTTGTGTAAAGCGATCAGATTTTGAAATAATAATAAATTATGTAATTTATATGTTTGTTTTACTTCTCAACCCCCTTAGACTGTTATATTAAATTGATAAATTTCTTGAAACCAATTTGTGTATGAAAAATATGTTATGTTGGATTATTGGAAATAGAAATTAAAAAAATATATTAATTGATTTTAATACTGAAATATGAATAATTATTTTATAATAAACCTTCTGGAATAAGAAACTTGAAGTTATCGGAGAGTGTATGGTAGGAGTTTAATTGTCTGTGTATTTTACTCTTAAACATTAAGGCTAGTGTTACACATGCATTAAATAAGCATGCTCAATACAAGCATGCCTGGGAGCCCTTTACATTTGCGGGAAATAAGCGTAAGCGTGCTTTTTTTAAGCGCTCTCTTAAATAAGCGTGCTTAAAGCAAACCTTTCTAATACACATGTTTTTTTATAGCACGCTTTTCTCGCTCTTTGTCAGTTCAAACGAAGTGATGATTAATCAAACAGCTATCCGTATGGAGACGAATAAGATCATCCTTTTGCTGGCGATGCAATGCATCCACAAGCTTAAATCAGGTCGCCAAAAAAAGAAAAGTAAGATATTGATTTGGATCCATAATTGGATATCTAGAAGACAGAACTTTGGAGCAAGTGCTTAATTGCTTACAGAAATACGAGAAGACGATGTTTCATCTGTTGCCATTGACTGATCGGTACTAGCATACTTAATAAGCAAACATGTTTAGATGTACTTAAGGCACCTACACCGTTAATAGCTTGCATAAAAATCCCAGGCTTCTCGTTTTTAAAGCACACTCCAAATAAGAATGCTTATTTTAAGCAACACTTGGACACACATGCTCGTAAACAGCACGTGCTCAATTAAAGCATGCTTTCGTGCTTGAAATAAGCATGTGTAACAGTAGCCTTATTACATTATTTCCCTTCTGAAATAAGTTAAAGATATAATACAATAAACTCGAAATTTGGGAGAGTTTATGGTAAAAGTGGAATGGATGTCTGTGTGTTTTGTACTCTTAAAATCTTCAGAACGTAATTTACTTAAACTACAATAATTTATTGTATCAATCAGAATTATAAGTTAAAATATAATGTTTTATTTACGTTTAACCTAAAGAGTTACAAAGTCGTGATAGCCTAGACTTTGAAGTCCAAGGCAAGTACCAATGTGATTTTTCCGAGTCATATGTACTTTCTAAGAGTGTTTAGATATCACTGACACACGGAAAAGGAAAACAACGTTAATAAGTGACTTTTACATTAAAGATAAGAAAGTCTCACAATACCTTTTTTAAATATTATATTTAAATTAGGTAATATTTATTATTAACATCTCGACAACCTATTACTAACTCTGAAATAATATGAAACGAAAACACTTCTTTGTATGTAGAAGTGTAATATACATTAGCTGATATATATGAACTATTTGGAGTATAGTTCGACCCATTAAAGTGTTATGGTGACATTTTGTTGAAGTTCACGGTCACTATTATAATAATTCATTTAAAAACAAACCGTGGCAGCTGCATTTAGTCTTAAATGTCAACAAATGCTATAGGACATTTCGTTTATTCCAGTTGCGCTGCACTTTTATTATATGTTACCATACTTTTTTATTTAGGTACCAAGAAAAATAGAGGATACTTGCGTTTTAAATAGAAAAAAACCATTCTGATTCATCTCATGGGTATTAAGTTAATTTAAATAATAATAAAAAAATTATATACTTCGATACTTTTTATCATGTTAGTCTAATATTTATTTTACTATATTCAACTTTGTAACAAACAATCTAAACAAAAATCTACATTGTTTGCAGTACAGCAGTAAATATATAGTCTTACGAAATCAATTACCGACATGAAACAAAATAAATTGACTGATCAAATCAAATACTTTGTATTCCAGCCTTCAGTAAGCACGCCTGGCGTCTTTGTAGATGTACTTGTAATGATATTTAAGACTCGACGTTCGAATATAATCATATTACATCCAGTACAAACGGAAACCAGACAAGATGAATACCAACAACTTATTTATATTATTGTTTGCGAATATTGTACTATCAGCGGCTGAAAATCCACTGCTAGTTGCTACAGGAAATTCCGGTAAGATACCAGAAAGCGCGGAATGCATTTTAAAATTGTCCACTAAATATTTGGTAGAGAAGAAAGCGCTCCGCGGCAGCATTGTAATATTCGCCATAGATTCAATTCCATCAAAAACTGAAATCCTGCTATTAAAAACGATTCACAGCGGTATAAAATATTCAATTATGACAAAAAATTCATATCGCAAACACGCCAACGCTTCTCACTTCCCGGAGAAAGCTAAGAATTATTTCTTGATTCTGAAAAAGAAATCTCAGCTGACGTATCAGTTAATGTTGTTGAGTCATTTGCCTTCTTTTAATCCATTAGCTAAAGTTATAGTTTATTACCATCTGAGATTAAGAGAAAACAGCGAAAGAGTGTCTATTTGGTTAATAAATAAACTTCGAGACTACAGAATATATAAGACGATTGTCTTTTTATATTCCCCTATTAATGAGGAAATCACGTCTTACTCCTGGACTCCCTATACGGAGACGAATTGCGCTGGCAAATGTGATTCTGTATACATTCTAGACAAATGTAAAGATAATAACGTAACACAATTTAATGCTCAAAGAGAAATGTTTCCATTAGACTTAAAAGGGTGCCCCTTGGCACTATATGCTGTTATTTCTGAGCCGTATGTCCTACCGCCTGAAAGAAAAGTCACGCACGAAAGATGGAACGACGTATATGAATTTCAAAAAGGTGGAGAGATTAATCTCGTCAAAATCATAAGTCAATTTACAAATATGAGTGTAATATTTCGAATGTCGACTAAAGAAGACAACTGGGGTGAAGTTTATAAGAACGGGACGGCCACTGGAGGGTTTGGTTTATTGAGGAATGATTTCGTTGACCTTTTCATCGGTAACATCGAAGTGACAAAAACAATACGTAAGTGGTTTCATCCTACAGTCAGCTACACACAGGATGAAATGACCTGGTGCGTACCTAAAGCCAAACAAGCCGCTACTTGGGATAATCTCATTATAATATTTCAATGGTCCACATGGGTTGCTACCTTTTTAAGTATTTTACTAATGGGTCTCACTTTTCATTATTTACGTTACAAAGAACAAACCGGTAACGCAACGAAATGGCCGACGTATTCAATTCTAATGACCATCAGTATGCTGCTGGGGAACGGTACGAGATTCGAAGCCAAGTCCTCTCCGTTCAGAATCTTAATATTCGGTTGGCTCTGTTTCAGTCTTAACATGTCGATATCATACGAATCATTTCTGAGAAGCTTCTTAATGCATCCGCGATTTGAGAAACAGATAAGCAATGAGCTAGATCTCATTCAATCTGGAATGCCTTTGGGAGGTAGAGAGATTTATAGATCCTATTTTGAGACTAATAATGCCAGCGGATCTTATCTGTATCGCAAATATAACTCAACAACGTTCTCAGAGGGAATAAGACGGGCCGCTTTGGAACGGAATTTCGCTGTTGTATCATCGAGGAGGCAAGCCGAATACATGGATCAGAAATTGGGCAAAGGTGCAGCTTTAATATACTGCTTTCCTGAGAGTAATAATCTATACAAATACGGAGTTGTTTTATTGGCTAGAAAATGGTTTCCGATGCTGGAGAGGTTCAATAATATTATACGGAGGGTTTCTGAAAATGGTTTGATAAATAAATGGAATGAGGAGTTGTTTATTCACAGGATAGGCTCCGATGGTACAAGTACTATAGTACCGTTAACTATCCAACATTTGTTAGGAGCTTTTATGTTGATTGGTATTTTGTACGTGGTTAGTGTTATAGTGTTTATCGCTGAGATAGTAGTAGGTTCAATTGTTAAGGGAAAGTGGAAAATAAATAACAAACCTTGGCTGTTTAAGAGAAATTAAATTCTGGTCACCAATTCTTTACTATTTTACATACATATATATTTAGAGTAGTATAATTAACTTGAAATATATGACTTCGATGTAATGTAACGATATATCTAATTCATTGCTAGCTAAATATATCGGAAGTTTTCACCCTGTTTTATCGTCTGTCGGTAGGAGAAATTTCAATGTAGCATTGAATTCATATCCAAATATAGAGACGGATTCCAAAATAAGCAGTGAATGTTTAAGTTGTGAGGCATATCGGAACAGTTGTTACGATACGGCATCTAAGAAGTAAGAATTAATTAACAGTGTTCGCCTAAAATGCTTTGAGTGGAAATATTAAGGGAGCCTTTTTAAGATATTGTTACATCTAAATGTGTGTTGTTTCAATTATAGAACATGACTTTCGTTTCGCTGTTTCAATATACTTCCCCTTAATTAAATGAAGCTTGTTTTTTTAAATATAGCAATTTCGGGTAAATAAAGTAATATTGATACTTAATTTTTGATCTATTTGATACTATTACTTTGTTTTATAAAACAAACAAATGTTACATAACATAAAAATGAACTTAAAAGATAATTTGAAATATAAAAAATATATATATATCCTTTATTACACAAAAATATATATTTATAAAATGAACTTTTTCGTTGTGTGTTTAAAAATGTTTAGTTACTGAGTCTGAATTTCAAAATCTTTAATTAACGTATGTATGTAGTACAATATTCTTACATTTATTTCAGTAACAAACATTTTAGTAACCAATTATTTGATGAAAAGTTGTGTTAAAATTTTAACACATTTTCTAATAAATCTATTTGTTATTACATTGATTTACCTCAACTATAAATAAAAATAATAATTTAACATTTTAAGTAACTGATAAATTATAACAAAGTCAAACATACTTACTAGCACTACTCTTATTGTTTTATACTTCTTTCACTATATTTTCTCACAATGAGAAAAATAATATGTATTTACAAAGAAGAAACGAGCAACAAATGAACTCATAATTCATAACGAGTCGTTAAAATGTATTTTCTTATAGAGCGTTCATTACATAGTGTATGCATATGGTATCTTTTGTTTTGTAATCATCTTACTTAATGTCTATTAAAAAATGTTATATATTATATTCCCTCATTAATAATCCTCATAATTGTGATTTATGTTATTTAATCAGAAATAAGAAAATGTACAATATTTGCTTTATTTTTATTATTTTTATATATCAACAATTAAATTAAAAAAAATAATTTTGTTACAAGGTGGTTGAGCTTAGTTATAGTAATGTAACCACAGCTCGAACACACTCTCTAACAGAAGATCGACGTGATTTAATGGCTTTTAATGGCTGCAACTCGTCTGACGAGTGAGAGAGCCGGTTGCATTTTCCCTATTTCTACTTTTTCCTGATATTCCCTCATTTCCATCCTTCTCTTTTCCTAAAAAACTAACTATACTGATGTTGCGAATGTCCATGAGCGACGATGGCTACTGCCCACAAAGTAAGCCGTCTGCACGTTTGGCACTTTTAACATAAAAAAAATTCTTCATTTTTATTACATTAACTGTTTTAAATGAAGTTTCGTAAAAAATATTAATTGAAAGTTTTATCAATATAAGTAATACACGAGATAGGCTTTTAATGAAACAGTAACAAGTTAAACCATACAACGAAATATTACAGTTTAATTCACATCATTAGGATATATTTGATATTATGGCACAAATACAATATTACCGGTGCTGTTGGAGAAGCTAATTATCAACACATTACCACAATTTACTTTACATTCGGCTCACACAACCCTTTACATTCCTTTTGATAATCATTTAGAGTCGATTTTCGTTTAACTAAACATTTAGTTCCGGCATTTCAAGATTGTTCAGGTAATATGAATGGGTATTAGGTGTTTAGGTGTTGCTAATTGTGCTTTATGGCTTCCGATTTAATTAAAGTACACACATGTAAGACATATTACTTGTATATGTTCTGTTTGTGTTTATTCTTGAACAGGTTCATTACGGTCATCGTCATTACGTATGCATATGGGATAGTTCTGAAAATCGCAACATCAAGATTTGAGTTGTTGAATATTGAAGCATGCTAGTTTATTAATAAGCATTAACTATTAAGGCCTTTTGAATTTGAATTCCTGATTAACGTTCTTTATTTAACTTAAGTTTCTATATATTTTCTTATAGCTAGTATTGGTTATATATTTACGTTGCAAGCGTCTAATCGTAAGAACACGTTGCTTGAATAGATTTAGAGACCAGGAAATAATGTATTCATTTAACAATGTATAAGATCGATTTCATATAATATACATAATATGTCATGTGGCTTTTCATAGGGGAATTCCACAGGACAAAACATAGTCTAACGTACTTCTGATGAATGAATGATATTATTTTAAAGTTTTATTAAAATATTTCCAACAGTTTATACTTTAAAGGGTTACCAACAAATCGATCCATATATGTATGTCCATTGATCCACACATACCATATTTTATAAAAATCCTTTAAATAATTTTATTATGTACCCAAAATGTTGAAACCAGTTATATAAATCTAAATAAATACAGACCATAATGCTTTTGAGTTAGTCCTGTTTAAGATTAAATGTGATGTCATTATCATAACAGAAAACAAAGCTCACGAAATTTTTACAGCTTCTATCATAACTTGTCTCGACTTTTAGGTGGAAGTGATAAAAATACATTTTCTTTGTGCCATGGATTAGTATTTTTAACGAATAGAAAAACAATAATTTCGATTTTTATCTGTCTATATATGTTTTATTTAATTCCAAGTTTTATAGAAGAACAATTTTAAAAACATTTATTAAGGTTCTTAGTAATGAAATAACTCCATTTGTATTTTTAACAAAAATGTTTACCGAAACTGTGAAAAAGGGATCGGAAATTTGAATTTCAAAACTTGTTAGCCGAAGCTTCACTGAAGGATTAATGTTTTTAAAAGGCAAGTCATTATTTATTAATTCAGAAGTTCCCATGGCTTACGTTTTTGAACTTTATGAGTACTAATATAACCTATAAACCGACTTTAGAACTTTAAGGATTTTATATTTTATGACTTCAAAAGTATTAAGGTATATTTTTAAAGGCAACACCTTTTAAGACTCTGGGTAAGTTAAAAGAATTTTTGAAACTAAAATTAATTCCAACAACGTCAAGATGACCGACGAAAGACAAGACCTTAATGAGATGCAACGCTAAGCAGATTGATTGGAATGATCATTCAGTAACAGGAAGCTGGTATGAAATATCACAGATATGTGGAGTATGAACAATAGTAACTTGGTTAATTATGTAGGGTGGCAACCAGAGGTTCCAGGAAAACTACAAAACCTACTTATATTATAATAATAATTATTACATATTAAAACTTATAAAATATATCTAAGACTATATGATTGAAGACTAATTGATCGTTTTAATAAAAAGTATTACGATAGTTCTAATTAGTTAGCAGGTTGTGTACACACAAAATAAGTTTTTTTGTTTGCCTTGTTTCTTGTTTTCAAATGATAATAACAAGAATGTTTGATTCTTATTTGGATATTCCTATTTAAATAACTATTTTATAAAGCTGTGATGATCAGATCGTAATCGTTTTAATGTACTTTCGTGGCTCAAAGGTAGTTGAGAGATTCATAAAGTATATAGATGTTCGTTCTGATCGGACTGCTGTAACATTATGCGCGAATATTATCAATGTTTAAATGAAATTAATATTTTCTTCTTACTACTCACTGGTTCTTTTCAAATTTGGTTAGGTAGAAAGAGGAGCTTGGACAGCGGAGGTGAGCGTTTAACGCGCGTTAGATAGGGGCCTCTTAAACCTAACCTAAATCCATTGGATGCTAAGAGGTTTCGTCTCACTATGCAGGGAGTATGTACTCCCGACCGACGTTTTGATTACCTTGCAACAACCGTGATCACGGTAGACATCTCGTCTGCCGTTAAAAATAATAAAAATATTAGTTTCATTTAAAATTTAAATCAATACTTGCGAAAGATATCATTATTATCAATGTTTTAGAAAGGAAATGATGAAATTTATTTCTTTTTAATATAGGTATTGCAAAATATTGTGTTATCAAGTACACAGAAGCCATTACCACACTCAACACTTGTAACTTAATATTATAATTACATATTTACACTGATAATTAATAATTATGATTACTATATGTTATCAATATTTTTATATTGTTAATCAATATTCTACACTCATTTGATAAAAAATAAATAGTTTAAGAGGTTGTCATGGCGGAAATACTTGTTATTCTCAGTTAAAACATCACTGTATATAGAAATATATGTTTCATTGTATAAGATTAAAGGCTGTTTTCATTTTGTGTTTTGGATACAAAGAATATAAGGAATGGTACTGTTTTCATCGCCTTTAATTTCAGTATAAAAAAATATATTTTAAAAACGTTATACTCGTATATTCTGGTTAATATAATTACGGTTATCATTTGATAGGTAAGTTAAGCGAAGGTCTAATTAATATCTCATAGTGAGTGACGGAAGTCTTAGCTTCATTGTGCTGTAACAAATGGCGCCGCGCTTCAGTTTCAAACGTTCGCTTGAGATAAATTGTTCTTAAGAGGACCGGTTGTACTGATACTGGTTGCGATTTAACAGTTTTTAAATCGTACCTACATATATGTAGCTGTTACTTCAAATATTTTCTACGTAATCATGAAATCAATTGATTAAATTATGACTCATATAAAATTTATATTATTTTTAATGGTATACATACGCTATAAAAAATATTATTATACAGTTATGAGGTTTTCTATGTTTTGAAGATAAATTGTTCAGAAATCAATAGTACATATAAAGCTTGATAATGTTAAATTTAACTATAACATTTTAAATTCTAGTTAGTGGTGTCGATGAGCCTCTAATATAGTTGTCAAAGGAGAGCCTGTGTGTGGTCTGTAGTTCCCTTGAAGGAG